AGAGAGAGAAGAGAGAGAGAGAGAGAGAGAGAGAGAGAAAGAGAGAGAGAGAGAGCAAGTGTAAATAATTGAGCCATGGTATCCGCCGCAATCCAATAACGCGTATGCGAACTCCGTTACGAGAGTAGCTCGCGATATCGCAGCCGCCGGGGAAGAGAGAAGCGATTAAGGTAGTATCGGCATCTCGGATTCGCCCCAAACCGCCGTTACCAAAACCCCGTTAATCATTCAGCCAAACGCGAATTGGCTCTTCGCAGCGGCTCGAGAAACATTGATCCCACGCTCCTCATTGCGAACAACGTAATCACAACGTGACTAATTCCTCTCGTGTCGGAAATCTCTAATGAGGTACCAAGATCGTTTTCATTTTTTATCAACTATCAAAGCGAGATGCGAAACGTATAAAGATAATGTAAAATGTGAGACAACACTGATTGCACATTAGAACGTAGGGTGGTTCCGTGGACGAGCGCGAGCGTTTTCAATCTTTAATTATCCGTTCCCGATAGACGCGGCGATAAATCCGGCCGATAGGGTTTTTTTTTTAATTTGGTTTCTTCCCGATAAGTACGATCGTTAACCATTCGCCGATTTGTTTCATTCGAGCCTCGCTCGTTCTGTCGAGGGATCGTTAACACGACCAGCTCGACAAGTCCTTCCGCCAACTTAAGCTGACGATCGTCTTAAGGGAGCATTATTCGGGCTCGACCTTGCGTGAGATATGCGTCGTTAATGGGCACCCCGCCGTTATTCCTCCGTGCTCCTTAGACGAGATGGAGACAACGACGCATACATCAGATTCGAGGGGTGGTTTTATTGCTTACAACGTGATAAAGAGGATGATAGTAAGCTTTTATGGATTATTTTTGTTTAATATTATTCCTTTGCCTTTGGATATTTTTAACATTAAAAATATTTCTTGATACATTCTCTTTATTCTCTTTCGTTTAATAAGATATTAAAGAAAGATTAAACTATTCTTAGTTTTTTAAATATCTAAAATGTAAAGTTAATGAAAATGTAACAACATGTAAAAAATAGTCAATAAAAGATACAAAGGATGTATTTATTTTTCTCCATTTTTTTATTTTTTACTTGTTTCTTATTCCTCTTTTTGTTTTAAAGGAAATATTTGATCTTGACATTTTACGTGATGTTGATAGAGAGAATATATCTTTTTGGATATTTTTCTTGTAGTAAATACTAGTTTAGAGAGTATTAGCCTAATCCGGGATTTATCAGTCCAAACTGATAATAACCAAAGTTACCGAATAGTTATAGTACACATATAGCACATCGCCACGATCTACGATCATGTCCCCGAGGTAGCGAAACCTGATCGCTTCTCGAAGTACGGTGCATTTATTGGTAACGAACTAAGTCAAACAAGCCGCAAGTTTCGGCGACCAATATTAATTATATATATCTACTTTTGCATCCGACACTGCATCCGGACAGATATAGTATTTGCGGTACCATCCATTAGAATAAGTTATGTTAGTTATATCGTGTCAAGAAGGTAACCTAGCAAATTTCGATAGTATTTCTTTCAAATTAGCTACGTTACATTTCGACAAAGAAATCATTTCAATCGTGCCATTTCTAATAACAATGTCAAGTCACCAAAAAACGAGAAACATTTTTACATTACAATAAATTCCAAAATCGCCCTTCTGATAAAGATCTCAAATTTTCGTTATCAATTCCGGACGATAATGAGGCGATATATTCGGCGGTTAGCAAAACTCGCCCTAATTGTGAAAGTATTTTACGAGTGCGTGCGAGCAAACCTGCCGGCATGACGAGGTATTCCAGCAAGATGTAAGCTAAAGTTTGACGAGGTTCGTTCGGTGTACTCCGGGCATGCTCGGCAGCCGGCAGCCAACCTGTTAATCACTTTAATCTGCGAAGTGTTTTAGCACAGCTCGGAGGAATATGCTTGAAGGAACACTTCCCGAACTTCGGCCGAGTGTCGGACAGACAGGATGGCAGGTACACAGACAGACGAGCCGCTATAAATGCTACACACGGTGCGGATTTGCGTTAAGATAAAAGGGCTAATTGCGTCACGACGGAAGAAGCTTTTAAGACAAGACTAGGAAACTCATCCGCGAGCTTTAATATTCACGGAGAGAATTAGATATTAGTTGCCCGCTTTGTTAAACACTTAATGCGGCATTAATTTTATGCTGCGATAATCGCTGGGAATACAATTAAAAAACTTTCTATCGAGATAATCCCGTTATTCCTCGAACAGATAAAACGTCATTTATCATACATCTGCGAAATACGATACGTAGGATCCATAAGGCAGGAGATAACAGGGGAGTTGAGAATAAGAAAACTGCATCTGTGGAGTGTCTAGGATAATAAGGGAAACGCGATTTTACTTTATGTCGGGTCGCGAGTGCTGCGTTGCAAAAGGCAACGGCGACGGGCAGTCAATGGCAGCGCAGTGCGAGCGGTGGTCCATTCATGGACTAAACATCCTCTCCGAGGTCAATGTTGCCGTGCCAAGCCGCGACCTGCCTCAAGAGTCGCCAAACCAGTCCAGGAGAGAAGATCCAAACAGGTTACCTAATTTACACACGCCAGAGAGACCGCCGGTCGGTTCTCGCGTGCCGCGCAAGGTTGCTCTTGCACCGGATGTTCCGCTCGACAAATAGCTAAGGTATAACTCAATAAATTATGTTCGATATCGCGGCAAACATCTTCGAAGTGATCGGAGAGTTTTTAAAAAGGGGAAAAAGAAACGTATGAAAATGTGAATTAGTTAAGGCGCCGGCGCGGCAGTGCAGACGGGGAGCTCGTTACGAAATATTTTATAAAACGTGTCTCGTGTTGCGAGCTGAGCCGAAATTTCTGAGCGGGGATCAACTTCGCGAAGATCCTCCGCGACGATAAATAACCGACTTTGCGGCGCAACAAACCCCGTGTTGCAGCTGCACGCCGAAATAGTTGGCTCGTAAATCGGTATTACCGCGAATCTCCAGTCCGCAGCGGCGGGATATTTACAATGTAAAAATCTGCCCGCGAGTAATTGGCCGACTGGAGTCGAAATTCAAGAGCACCCGACCCGGTTTACACGCTCGCGGAAACCGGAGTTATTCGTAGATCGAAACGAACGCCGTGCCCGACCGACTTTGCGAATGCATAAACGCGGTATGCCTCGCGGAAATGCAGCGATATAAATCGACGAAAAGGAAGTTTGCTTCTAAACGTACATCTGAAGAAAGTAGCACACATTTCGATGCAACATATGAACGAAATATGAACGTATCATTTTTTTTTTATAACTCCTACATGCCACTACATATACATTATGACTGTACGAAACGATTTTACGATCCGATAAAAATTCTGATAGATAAATTTTAATTTACTTCGCGTATATTATAACGCATGTATTGAACGATATCCAAGTATCAATCGATTAATAATATTCGTTTCAATAATTGAAAATCTTCTCTTACAATCCAATAAACGCTTTCCTGCTAAGCGTTATTTTAAGCGTCGTAAGTTTAATGAACGGAGAAAAGTGCGATGTCTGTTAACTGTACGCATCGCGGAACCTTGTTCCAGAATCTAAATGAATCCTACGACTGACCGCCATTATTTCATTACTTATCGTTGTAGATCGGCATAATCGCGGTAATTAAGTAACAGATAACGGCAATGATCCTCCGGCGAGAGGCGAGGCGAGGCGAGGCGAGGCGAGGCGAACGCGAAAGTAATGACCGGCCGCATCTCGTGATATTAACTAACAGTAACAAACGCTTGCTTGCTCGCTCGCTCGCTCGTGTAACGCCGCATCGACGCGACGCGACAAAAGCGGCAACGGCAATGATTACCGCACACACCGTGGCAATAACGATTTCTAATAAGAATATAATCGCGCGCGCGCAAGCAGTTACAAGCGTCGGAATGATAATGGCGCGTAATTGCTCCGTGTCCCGCAGAATCCGACCCGGCCATGTACGGGCCATCGTAATGAGTATGATTGTGAGGATCGTCGCGAGGTGCAAGAAGTAATTTGCACGGGCCGTGCTACCGTCCAGGGCCGGAATCGTGCCAACTTTGCGCCACATATGAAGTATCTCGAACGTGCCTGCCCGTCCTCTCGGACGAGATGACGAGACAAAAAAGCGAGATAAAATAAATGACAAAATAAATGACAGAATAAATGACATGAATCATGTGAACATTTTTGAATTATCGTCGATTGGATTTTTGAGATAAATTTAGGAAGACAATATTTGCGATCGAGTAAATCTATTGTTTGCGCTAGATGAGATACAATTATCGAGTCCCACTGTTCGGAAATTAAGATTTATCTCGACTGACCCTGAAGCAATATAAATACCGTTGGTGCTTTCGGAGCTGCACATGTCCTATCATCGGAACGACAGGTATTCTGCGCGTTGCGAAACGCATGTACGAGAATAATTCTCGTCGAGGCCATGTCGAGGCCATGATATAACGGTGGCGGTGACGATGGCGAGAGGTCTGCACCCCGAGTATCCGAGTATCGCACAGCGAAATCGCGTGCGGCTCGTCCGGTCGCCGCGATAATTGCGACGTTCTCGGTGAAATTGGTTTTAAGCGGTCGCACACACACACACACACACACGTAATTTCTAAATTGCCGCATTCGTAAGACGGCAGCTCGCCAACGCGCCGTGCATTGAGCGATTACACAGCCAGCGGCGGCGTTGTAACCCGGTCGTAACGCGCGCGGTGTGTTCCTCTTCTCCTTCTCTCTTAACATAATACCCTCGTGGCAATGCACGATTACGACCGTTTACTAATGACATGTCTGTGTTCTAATCCGGCGCATCTACACGGTATACCAGATTTCTCGAAGACCGAGATAAAATGTACGGGGTACACCGTAAAATATGACGGTTAGTAAAGATTTGATAGATTCGACATTGGATTTTTTTTTTTTTTTTTTTAATTCGAACGACTGACAGAATTGACTTGATATTCAACGTATTAAAGGAATCCATAATATTCCTTATTATTCATAATTATAATCGTAATTTGTATTACAATTACTTATTATTTATATATATAACAATTATATATTATATTAATATATATTATATTTTTGCATTACAAATTATGTTTCTCGCGCTCCAGTTAAAGAAAAAAATTATTTATCGCTTGATTTTTTCCCCTAAAAGAATTTTTCATTAATTTTAATTTAAATTTTTAAGCTGTGACGTTTGCATTTTCGAGAAATTATACATGGCGTATCCAAAATTGAATTTTTTAATTCTACAAAAACATCGTCTTTAAAATCATCAGGAAATGCTTTTCTACTGTTGATTGCCGCAATTTACGATACACCCTGTGCGTGAGGTTCGCTTGCGGGAATTACGACGAGCACGTTTCAGAAGACTTGGTAGTGGAAGCATCTGTAATTTATCCAGAATTTAATGGCCCGTTTTCGTTTTTTTTTTTCTTTTAAATAAAGTGTAATGTTTTCAGGTTAAAGTCAGCGATACGCCAAATCATTTGCCATTTCCCGCGCAGCGCTTCTCTAAATTATTGATAAATCACTACCTACTGCACGTACATAAGATCGAGACTGACAATCTAACAACTAAAAGCATATATTACGCTCGAGCAAGAGATAGTTATGCTCATATCATAAACATTTATGTTATCAATTATAATCTTATCGCGAATTAAATATTATTTTCTACATTTGTGTGTGAAGCGGGCGAGCGTAACTCCAAAATCAAATCAGGTTCGGTCACAATTTTTAATGAGGAAAACGAGCCCTATAAATCGCGGAACACAGAGCTCGAAATACTCTCCTAATTCTTCCGCTTTTTAGAACAAAAAAGGAAGAGAAAGGAAGGAAACCAAAAGAATCATACTGGTAACACAAGCGTCAATCGAATTTGCCGAAGAGCTACACAATACGCATCTGCATACGCGTGCAAACGGTATAACTAATCAGCAACCGTAAGTATAGTAAGTATAATGGGGCCCCCTCGTAAATAATGAATAGCGTAAACCGTAGCGAAATGATTTATCGCGTCCAGCGTGAGCCGACAATGGCTTCCTTTTGGACGGCGGCAGACCAGCCAGCCAGCCAGCCAGCCAGCCAAGCCAAGCCAAGCCAAGCCAAGCCAGCTATCCAGCCAGCCAGCCAGCCGTGTTTGTACCACTCTCCGCCACGCCGGTGCGCGCTTTTTCTCCCTCTTTCACCCTCTTCCTGCTACCTCGACCGCCGCCGCCGTGCCCGTGTCGTGTAATAAATCTGTCCAGATGGTGCGGTATACAGCCGTCGGCGGCGGCAGGATGCAGCGCGACACGGCACCGCGCACCCCGGGGCTGCGAAACTCGTCGGCGTTGACCGATGGTCAAGGTGCCACCACCTCGCCTGGACCCGGGGTACGTTAAGGCAAATTTACGCGGTACACCCTGAACGATATCGCGCCGCGCAAGTTTTCCACTTCGGAAAACTGGGATAAGGAAAGATGGACAGCGTCAGGTGCGTCAGGTGCATCAGGTGCGATTTTTTTCATAAACTCGAACGGTTACATCGTTAATATTTTTTTTACTAGAAGATAGGAGAACCAGGAAGGTTGCTACAGCGATAATTATTAAAATTAATTGAAGAAAAGCTAAAATATGAGCTTAATGAACGTATCCTGATCGCCATTCCCAGAGATGGTCATTAATGATGGAAACAGTGAAGCACCCTATATTTCACTCCTCTTGAAACGGCTGTTTCGGTTCGAACGCGCGATTGCGGAAACGGTTTTCGTTAATAGGATGGATAAGACGAGCGCGGTTACGGCCTCGTATAGGCATAAATGCGATTCGGTGTTGAACTTTAAGTAACGAACCAAGTAACGGGGAAGTTCAATATCGCGGCGCGAAGGAAAGCAGGCGCCGCGTGGCCTTTAGTGCGTGAATTTATTACGCCGCTCGACGTAAATTGTAATTTGTTTTACGACGAGCGCGCGCATTCGCCGAGTACACGTCATATACTTTGACTCGCCATATGCGATTGTCACAGCGACGCATTACTCATTATCACCCGTACATTTTCCTATATGTTATCTTCGGGCTCACCCGTTACCTTGCCGACGCAACGTGCGTATTATAGGCGCGTAAACATTACGTATTGATTTAGCGCGCCGCAGCTCACGCATTCTAACAAATGTACGATGGCACGAAACGACGTTGATGAGCAGTTAATGAAAATCTCACCGCGCGATATACCTTAATCGCGAAGGAGATTAAGCGCATCCAGATCTGCGATTGATGTTTTCGTAGATTATGAGAAGACGCTTCTTTGCAACGCGATGTAATTATAAAGAAATTAATTCATCGTATGAGAGTCAACATAGGAAAAATAAGCGAAATTTTATCTGATAAATGAGTTTACTCTCCAGTGTAGTCACATAAAAATCATTCATTTTATTTATTTATTTTTTTTAAAGATAAAAAAGTTGTTAAATCTAACGTCAAAAGCAGCGGATGAGTACTTACATGTTGGTCTTGTCCTATTCGGCCTTGTTAATGGAATCCACGGTCTTTGAGGTGGATGATTTGCCGTAACTGCAAAACAAAAACGAAAAATATTGTTTGAATAAAAGATAGTAGCTGTGCAAAATTAACTAAATGAATTAAAAATTATTAAACTAAACATCCAAATTCTATTTCAAGTCATTTCGCTGCAATTATTTAATTTATTTTGAAAGTTCGCATCGGTCATTCCAGACTTCGTCGATATTCTTTTAAAAATGCAAAATTATGTTTCTTCAAATAAACTAACATTGTACCGTTTCGGAGTAGCTGATTAAATGGCAAAGCAATGATCATGATGATCGCGGTTATTATAATCGCTGAACTAAAGACGATGCAAAGAGGGAAGTTGCGCGGATTGTGCGCTCGTTTAAGTTCATTACATCTCGGCTCATTACGTCTAATGGCGCTCACTTACGAGAGGCGCGCGGTCCAATAATTAAATCGTTCAACCGAATGTCACTTGCACGAACCCCCCCGGGCTATTAACGGGGCACGGGACCAAGAAGAAGTACCCCGCGCGTGTGAAACGCGAGAAAAGAAAACGCGCCGCATCGCATCGTCTGCGCGTGACAGCGAGATTATACCGTGTGTCCTCGTGGCCTCGTCTGGCCACTTATCGTCGGAAGAAGTAATGGAGAATGTTTTGGAGAGAAGCGCCAAATTTATCAAACGCCGTATATACCTCAGTGGGAAAAAGTGCCATCACGAAAAAAATGGGACGTGATTTATTACACCGATTTTAATATCAGACGCCGATGATTTTTCGAAGCGAAACGGGTTACCTTAACGTCAACGATTTCGTCGTTCCCCTTTGGTCAGTTTTTAACGACAAACTACACGTTTATACGACGCGCACCGCAAATGAGGAAGACAAGCGTGATACTGCGGTCGCCCGCGGACGACGATCTTGCGGTTGAAAATCTTGTTTTGGCTTTGAGCGGTTGGCGTAAGTATCGAAAGTTATATAAGAAATATTCTACAAAGCTTCCACGGGCGAAACGTCCTCCTCCTCACGCTACTTTCATCGCTGGTAATCGTTGGTTACCCCGGACGTATTTTTCACACAAGTGGCGAAACTCGCCTGTCTGCCCTTTTTTCTCCTCTCAACGCGAGTTTTCGCGCAGAACGGCGAGAAGGACGTGTGTCAGGTTGAGGTTTAATAATAGGAAAATAGGTCGACCTGTCGGGCGTTTATGTTCGACATTCCTGAGATGCTCCCTGAAATATCCTCCAAGTTTCAAGAATAATCTCGTTGTTTCTGGATTACAGGAGAGTTATTTACGGCGCGGGAGAAGTTTCGCAATCTATTCGATGGTCGCTGCGCGAAATCTTCCCACGAGACGAGAGATCTTTCGCCGATATTTCACCGAGGATCTGTTTTCGCAAATAACTCTCGGGCATTCCTACCTTTTTCCCATTAAAACGGGAATTATCTTTCGAGAGGTTTTTGCCGTATTGTTCAAAAATACAATAATATTCAAACGATAAATATAAAGATACATATGGATACAATGTTCTGCGAGTAAAAGAATTAACGCGCGAAAAGAAAACGAGGATGAGGAGAATAGAAATAGAGCGATACATTAATTAATGAGAAAATAAAGGTGGAAATAACGACGGCGCTAATGCGAATGGAACTTTTTGCGACGGGAAAACGCGTACGGGATGCATGTAAAGTAATACGTGCCACGACGTTGCATATACATATAATGTAATAACACGTTTTCCGAATGCAGCGAAGCGTGAGCAATTTGCAGTCACTTTCCACTGATTATCGTCATTAAGTTGCCGTATTATCTCGCGTGCGCGCGCGCGCAGATGACCGACTCAATCGCGCCACACCGTCCATCGAGATTAATCCGACGCTTTTCGAAGCTTCGTAACACGTCGCATTACAATCATGCGTGCCAATCATAGCGCTACCGCCGCGGGCACGGAGGGATTAATCGGACGCGGGAATAAAGCGTGGCGCGATGGCATTGAATGGAAAAACGAGGAACCGAAGCGTTCTCACCGGGGCTTTTCGCCGTCATAATCGAAACCCGGGGATTTCCGCGCGCGTTAAGTGTCAACGAGACGTTTCGCCGGTAAGCCTCAAATTACCACGGGCGATTTTACTCAGATCTCAGGGCGGATATCTGTCCGAAGTGACAAAGGAAATAGAGAATTCTCATTTAATCTGTTTCTCCTGAATAGCCACGTAATTTCACGCGTCGCTGTATTTGTATCTTTCTGCTCGCCATAATAGGTAAAAAAAAAAAAAAGAAATAAATAAAAAGGAAAGGAACAAGAAAGGAAACAAAGTACGTGTTCTTTCCCAGAATTCGATATCTCCGCAGTTAACACGTCGGGAAAGGAGAGTATCCAAATATGTACCTCTTCCTCTTCTTTCCTCCCCCGGGATTTTCCGCTTGCAGTTGCCTCGTTTCGAGCAAGCTTGTCATTATCCGCGCAATATTTTGCACTCGGTGATAAGGGTGTGTTCGAGAAGAAATTCGAAGATCATCGTATCGACATATCGATCGATCCCGATAAAATATCTGCCCTGCGGGGGCAAGGAGAAACTGGAGGCGGGACGAAGGTGATACTCCGACGAGGGTCGCTGGCAAAGATCCTCGGCGAGTCTTGATCTATCTCTAAGCGAAGGAATAGAGAGAAAGAGGGAGAAGACGAGCGTGGCGGTAAGAGGGAGAGGTGCCGGGAGCGGGGAATGTAGAATTGAAACTGAGAATTCTATTTCGCTCCCTCGGGAGCCGCAGGCGAGAAGATAGAGATAGCGCCCCTGGGAGCATCGGTGTAGAATAATATAGGCGACACGTGAGAGAGAGAGAGAGAGAGAGAGAGAGAGAGAGAGAGAGAGAGAGAGAGAGAGAGAGAGAGAGAGAGAGGAGGAGGAGGAGGAGGAGGAGGAGGACGGA